ATGGACTGACGGGCGGCAGTTGATGGGCGAGGGATCCTGTCTGAACATCACATATCCCTCTGTCCGGTTGTCCAGCCACCTGCAGATGCTGGATACCGTGGGCGCGCTGTTGCGGGGTTCGGGCGTGATGCAGAAACCTGAAGGGAAGGGGGGGGGGAGGGGGGTTAGGTTTTTTTCCTGGTTGTAGATTTGATAATAAACGTGAGCCCATACGTGCACACATATATTTTGACTGAAGATGCGGTATTTATGCACTGATAGATCGATACGAAGAGAATAGTTGTTTTTCTTACACACATATATCTGTATAAAAAATATGTATATATGTATAAACACACACACACACACACTATATATATATATATGTATATATATATATATATATATATATATATATATATATATATATATATATATATAAATATAAGAAAAGTATCTATTTTCTGTGTATCGATTTGGGAGTATTTTTTTTGTTAGAATAATTACAAAAAATCAACTAGATGCATTGAAGATTTATGGGATCTTCTTCATGGCATGAACAGATGCGCGTGTGGGTGTGGGTGTGTGTGTGCAAGAGTGAGCATACCTGTATTAGAAACATACAGAACACACGCTTTCTTATCTGGAAACAATATGTAAAAACACCAAAATCCAGCAATGCGTCTAGAAACCCTGTTGTAATTATTAAAAAAAAAACATAACTTATACACTGTCAAATCGATACGCAGATATTATTTTTTATCTTAGTTTTACCTGCAGTATATACATGGAGATGATAACCATGATAATCCTCATGTTTATGGCGAATTTGTTATAATTGATGATATTATTCCATGCAGATAAAAGGACATTGATTATAATAATGATTATTATATTAATAAGGATAATGATAATAATAATATTAATAATAATAATGATAATAATAATAATAATAATGATAATAATAATAATAATAATGATAATAATGATAATAATAATGATAATAATAATAACAATAATAATAATGGCAAAGGCGGTGGTGATGTTAATGGAAATGCTAATGATGATGATGATGATAATTGTTATAATGTTCATCATAACAGAAACACTCACTGTCTGATCTTTCCAAAACATTCCAAGACCTGATGAGGAACCGGGAACAGATGTAGCATCCTGATTGGTGGGCGAAGACGTATTCAAACATATCTCGACGAATCATACGCCGATCCACAGGTTTGCCCCGCCCACTTATCTCGTTCTGGAAGATTTCGGTGTCGATGCCCCGCCCATCTTCCCAGCTGAACCAATCACCTTGGATTATGGGCGGGAAGACCGTGTCATTCTTGAAGGCTGTGGCGAACGTGGAGGCTGAAAAGAAGAGGAAAAAATTGTTTTAAGAAAAGGTATGAAAGATTTTCAATAAGAAAGAAAGGAGGAAGAGAAAAAAATAAAAGAAAGGAGTGATGGTGCTAAAAAGGAAGACTGATGAAAAAGGGAGTGAGTGATAATAATTATAATAGTATTGATAATAATAACAATAATAATATCAATATTGATGATAATCATAACTATGATAGTGATAATATTATTAATGATAATGATAATACTACTACTACTGATAATAATGTTACTGTTACCACTACTACTAATGATAATGATAATAATAATAATAATAATAATAATAATAATAATAATAACTGAGAATAGCACGAGTGGCTAAAACTAATGTCCAATATTTTTTTCAAGTGAGATTTTTATAATCTATTTTTTATAAATCTGATATAAAAAAATCTGTATTATCTGTCAATCAACTAAGGTATAATAGTCAAAGGTAGAAGAAGGGGATGAATATGATTAAGAAGATGAAGATGAAGAAGAAGACGAAGAAGACGATGACGACAACGACGAATAAGAATAAGAATAAGAACAAGAATAAGAAGGAAGAGGAGGAGGAGGCGGAGGAGAACAGGAGAAGAGGATGATGATTAAAAGGAAGAGGAAGAGGAAGAAGAAAATTGATGCTAAGAGAAGAAGAAGAAGAAGAAGAAGAAATAGAACAAAAGAAAGAGATGATGATAATGACAATAAAAAAGAAGAGGAAGAAGACAAAAAAAAAAAAAAAAAAAAAAAAAAAAAAAAAAAAATAGAAAAAGCATCGATCCCGCTACCGGCAAGTCATCGGTTCTCAAGATATTAGACGAAGCAAGACGCGGCAAGATAAGGCAAGACAAAACAAAACGACGCAAAACGAAGCAAGACAAAGCTGAACGACGCAAGACGATGCAAGACGAAGCAAGATGAGGCAAGGCAAAGCAGGACACAAGGCGAAACAAAACGACGCAAGACGAGTAAATACGAAGCAAGATGAGGCAAGACAAAACAGAAATACGAAGCAAGACGACGACACAAGATGAAACAAGACGAGGAAATACGAAGCAAGACAAAGCAACACAAGGCAACACAAGGCAAAACGAAACAAGACCAAGCAAAACCTCGAGAAACCACAGAAGAAACGGAAGAAGGAAAGAACGAACTGGACAAAACTAGAACACCACAATTAGCTTCGTATTCTCGAGGTGATTCTCCTTCACACCCGAATAAGCTGTCAGAATTTTGGGAAAGGCGTTGTTTTTTTATTCATCTATTTATCTAAGTATTTTATTCATGTATTTACTGTCATTATTATTATTATTATCATTATTGTTATTATCATCATCATTATTATCATTAACAGCATCATAATTATCATTTATCATTAATATTTCATTTTTTGTTGGGGGGGGGGGTTATTGTGTGTTATTCGAAAAAGAAATGAAGAGAGAAAGAGAGAGAGGGAGAGAGAGAGAGAGAGAGAGAGAGAGAGAGAGAGAGAGAGAGAGAGAGAGAGAGAGAGAGAGAGAGAGAGAGAGAGAGAGAGGAAAGTTTGACTATGGGATATTTCTGGAAAAGGATGTGCATATTTTTCCGTGGGTGAGTGTTCCTCGTGGTATTTAATAAATAGAAGGTTAAATGATTGTCGATTGTCAAAAAAAAATAAAAGTAAAAATTAAATAAAAAAAATATGAAAATAAACGTCGATGCAGAATTGTTCAAGGTGACAAACGTGAGAAAATATTGCACCGGTTTTGCGTGAGGTTGCGTGGTTGAGGAACGTTATTCTTGCAATATACTTTCTCCGTGACTCAGGACACTTCTTGCAACACCCTAAGTCAAGAAAGATATATTGCAAACACACACACAAACGCAAACAGAAAACTTGTGATATACTCACATACAAAGACAATTGTAAATCTTCCTAAACATTCAAACGTAAACATTTACACGATTGTAATTTTTCCTGGACACTCACACTCAAACACACGCAAACATTTACACAATCGCAACATACAAACATTTACATTCACACAATTGCAACACGTAAACACTACACGCATAAACACATGCACAAACATTTACACGATTTTAACACACAAACAAACACCCACAAGATGACAACACGCAAACACTCACACACAAACACCACAAAGACAAATACAATATCCATCCCGCACATACAACAAAACCCAAAACAACAAAAACAAACACTTACCACGGACTCACGCACAAACACAAAAGACAAGGCAACCCAACCACACGACTACCTCACGCCTTGGGTACGAAACTCTTTCAAAAGATTATTGCGTTTAGTCTTAAATATTTCGCCAAGAAACCTTCAAAAATCAAGCCTTTGAAGCGATGTGTTTTAGTTCGTCCGAAGTTCCATCGTATCGTATTAGTATTATCCTGATTATCGTTATTGTTCATTTGACTTCGTGTACTGTGTTATGGGAAGTACCTCTTTGGGAGAATATTGTGCGGTGGGGAGTGTATGTATGTATAAAAAGACGTACATGTATAAGTATATGTACTCACGCAACGCCCCTAACCCCCGATATACAAACATACAAGGCACTTCCTCTCCTACACACATACAGAGTATGCAAACTCACATACATGTACAAAACCCACCTTCATATACACAAACAAAACATCCTTCACCCCCCCCCCCCCGCCACCTTCTCTGCACAAACACACACGGATGACGTCCCTCCAACCCTCACCTCTTAGCATACACATACACAGAGAAAAAGAAAGAGAGAGAGAGAGAGAGAGAGAGAGAGAGAGAGAGAGAGAGAGAGAGAGAGAGAGAGAGAGAGAGAGAGCGAGAGATAGATAGATAGGTAGAAAGAGAGAGAGAGAGAGAGAGAGAGAGAGAGAGAGAGAGAGAGAGAGAGATAGAGAGAGAGAGAGAGAGAGAGAGAGAGAGAGAGAGAGAGAGAGAGAGAGAGAGCGAAAGAGAGCAAGAGAGAGCGAGAGATAGATAGATAGGTAGAAAGAGAGAGAGAGAGAGAGAGAGAGAGAGAGAGAGAGAGAGAGAGAGAGAGAGAGAGCGAGTGAGTGTGTGAGTGAGTGAGAGAGAGAGAGAGAGAGAGAGCGACAGAGATATACAAAGAAGGATAAAACAAACAAACAAACACAAAAATCACCGCACGCAAGAACGCAGATGAACACGCCACAGAACAGACTAACAGAACATAACTAATGCCACGCTACAGAGGCATAGAGGCATTCTTCACCGCGTTCCAGTCTGGATCTTGAACAGGTCGATGACTCACGCTGAGACTAAACTATTTTTGTTTTTATTCGTTCTAGAAAATGTGCTAACTTACCTTCACGGTTTTTAAAGAGCATCAAATGTTTTTTTTTAAATCCTATTTTTGAAATGCTTATGATAGTAAAACCAAAACAGATCTTTGCCCAGGTCTCGTTAAAGCAATGAATGGGACAATAAAAAAAAATAAATAAAAAAACACATTAGCAAAAAGCAAAAAACACATAGAGACGTATATCTAGTGTGTGGATAGCAGAAAATAGACTAATCGGCATCTTGTCTCCCTATCTACCAGCTATCTATCTATCTATTATATTACACCCTCTTATAATCTTCCCTAACACTGCGCCAACAATGTGCAACCTCTTTATAAAAACGTAAACACTGCACACCTTCCTTATTTGCATACCTACTTGCTTAATCTTATTTGCTTTGGAAGTGAACTCGATGGTAAATGATATCACGTTAAGTTTGTTTACACGTGGGATCTTAATATTTGTTTTGATGAGAAGCTTAAAACTAGTGCAAGTTGATACAATGCAGGAAGTATGCAATGAATGTGCAATGCTACATTATTGTTATTGAAAATGACCTTCTATTGGTTTCGAATTTACATAAATATATATTTTTTCGTTATAGATGGATATTGCGTAATTAACCATATTATGGAGATATTTCTCTGATAAAAGAGAAAAATAAATAATTATCATTTTTATGATTAGAGAATGAAGGCCTTATTGAATGATCGACATCAAAAGAAAGAGAGAAGAGATGAGAGAGAGAGAAAAAGAAAGAGAAGAGAACAGAAGAGAACAGAAGAGAGAGAGGGAGAGAGAGAAAAAAGAAAGATAGATAGATAGATAGAGAGAAAGAGAAAGTTCAAAACAAAACCACCACCAAATGATAATAATAATGCTTATTTACAACTAGAAAAAAGCAAACTTCCCCAGAGACAATACAAAGACCTCCTTCACCCCCCCCCCCCCCCGCACGAAAGCCAGTCGTCGTAGGAAGAATTCGCTCTCATGCCAAATCTTTCCTTCTCCTTTTTATTGTGTCTTTTTGATGTATTTCCCTTTTTGTTTTCTTTTTTTTATCTGTGTCTTTGATTGGTCTCTTTCTCTATCTCTGTCTCTTACTTTCTCTATTTCTCTTTCTCTCTCGCTCTCTCTCTCTGTCTCTCACTTTCTCTATTTCTCTTTCTCTCTCGCTCTCTCTCTCTCCCACTTTCTCTCTCTCTCTCTCTCTCTCTTACGTACGCCCTTTGGGGAGGAAGGACGAAGGAAGCTATTTTTTCCTAATGATTTTCAGCTTTTCATACTCTTGTTCTTCAAAAAGGTTTATGAGAATAACGTAATATAATTATTAGAGATAGATAAATAGATAGATAGATAGATTGATAGATAGATAGGCAGATAGATAGAGGGAAGAATGAAAGACAAAGTTGTTGCCTCTTGCATGACGAAAGGAGGAAGTAGGATCGATGAAGAGAGAGAGAGAGAGAGGGGGGGGGGGCGAGAGAGAGGAAAAGGGGGAAGAGAAGAGAAGAAAGGAGATAGACAGATAGAGAGAGAGAGAAGAAAGAAAGACACACACCCACTCAAAAAGAGAGAGAGAGAGAGAGAGAGAGAGAGAGAGAGAGAGAGAGAAAGAGAGAGAGAGAGAGAGAGAGAGAGAGGGAGAGAGAGAGAGAGGGAGAGAGAGAGAGGACTCTTGC